TCCTTCCAGTGATATTGTTTCTGGTTATTTCTTTTGCTGCTATGAGAATCCCCGTTAGCTCTGTTTGAACTGCACTGGCACTATTGCTCACATCCCATTTTATGTTTAGGTTTAAGAATCTGGTGTATATTCCACATCCTGAGCCTTATTTTGTTTTAGATCCGTCGATGTAGATATGAATCGTACCTGCCACTTCCGGCTCTTCTATATGTTCTATTATAAGTTTATGTCCATGTTCGCTTAAAGCAGTGGAAGCGTATCGAGCGCCTCCTGCCAAAAGCGTAGTCTCGTCTCACCAAATCCTACCTCCTTGGTGTAAATATTAAGGGGAGTGAGACTAAGAATGACTTCCATGACTCTGGTCGGTGTTGTTTTCATGGTTCCTGTTATGTTGAGACATGCTATTCTTTGAATTTGTTCTAGTTTACGGATAGCTGATGTCACAAAAAATGTTTCTAAAGTAGACCATGACCGAAAGTCATGTCCGTGATACGGTTCTAAATTGACACTTAAAAAGAAGAAGAATTGAATGATCCGACATGCATGAATTGTTCCAATGCCTACTTTAGAAACATTTTTTTGTGGATCGATCCTTATTAAGTCCAGTATATTAAAGCGTAGTTTATAATTGTTATATGTCCATTTTGAGATAATTCGTTTGACAGTTCTCTTTGCAATGCTCAGGAATGGCTCTGCTCCTATAAACTCAGATTTGGTTCCTCTTTTAGTGAGCGCGTCAGCTTTTTCATAGCATCGCATCGCTGTACCGCTGTGTCCCGGAAATCAGATCAGATTAATTTTGTTCCGGACACTGAGATACTCAAGAATATTTATACAGTTCCAAACCAGCTATTGGAACCCAGGGCCATGAGATCTGCCTGGCTGTACGAAAAGATCTTTATAGTCTTTTTAGCGGGGACAAATTAATCTTTTCTGTCTAGAAGATCTTGGCCAGAGAACCGGCGTTTATTGATATGCCAACTCTTAGCTTCTGGCGGAAAACTCACGCGCCTACTTTTTTTCTGAGACTGAGACCATGTCAAGAATGTATTGGTTATTAATCGTATTCAATATCTTAGGTTTATCCCATTGTCCAGCTCTATTGCATTGACTACCCACCATCAGGAGTCTATAGGAGATCATCTTGACCTCCCTTTCCAAAAAAATGTGGTGGAGCGAGAGATCCAGCATGGTCTTCATGATTGAGAACTGATCCCCCACGCTTTGCCGTTTATCTTTCTGAATATTCAGAGAGAAAAGCTGGCGTTGTTGATGGTTTTTCCAATTGTGGGTTCCAGGTGAATTTCTTATATAGGTTAATCCCCAGATATTTCACCTCTTATGCAGAAGAAACCATTTCTCCGACCAAGGTACTTTCGTGAAGTTGACCATAATAGTTTTCCGGGGGTTAACAGAAAGCTGTTCCCTCTCGTACCATCTGTTAATCATATTTAGGGCTTGTTGAAGGATGTTGGAGATCACCTCTTCGTACTTTTTCCCTAATTGATCTCCAGATCATCCACATAGCATTGTAAAAAGGTTATTCACCAGAATGATCCACTGTAGCGGTGAAAGTACGCCGCCTTGTGGACATCCTCTGGGAGGCGTGAACGTTACACTCTTTCCCGTTGGACGAAATAATGTTACGATTTCCAAACATGCTTCTGATCCACTTACAGGTCAGTTTGTCGATTCCTCTTCTTTCAATAAAAGCAAACAAATACTGAGGAAGGGCATTATTGAAGGAACCTTCTATATCTAGGAAGGCACTCAGCGTAATCCTCCCGTGTTTTAGAGAAATAAAGAAGTATTAAAACATTGAATTTTTAGGTTTGTGAAGTAATAACTTTACTTAGTCTATCTATGGATTTTAAGAATCATTCTATATAAAAATATTTGGGCCCTTTACCTTTTAGGCCTGCCCATGTGAAAATATTTGGTCTATTTAAGCCTGCCATGTAAAAATAATATTTGGGCGTTTTATCTTTCTAGTTCTTATATTAAATTCAGATACAAGTTTCATTCTGGAGTTCGTTAAAGTCCGTGCAAAAATTATCGTTATTCGTGTAAGATCCACATTTATTTAAAATATCTTAAAATTATTATTTTCACTTATCAACTTTCACTTACAATAAATAACTACTCAAATAAAAGTATATTATATGAAAACGTTATTTTTAAACAAGGGATGTATATAGTAGTTTGTGCAACAAGAGTGTATATGATGGCCATATCACCCGAAGACAAAATTTGAGCACCACGCAGTAGGCGGAGTGCTCAATGGTCTGAGTGCGATGTGGATAATCCACTCCAGTTGTACAGAATATTTTTTCTACGACCCACTAACGAAAATTTACAAATAAAAGAAGTATTTTAGGTTATTAAGACAAAATAACTAATTTTAAAATAATTTATGACTTTAAGTAAATTTTTAAAATAGAAAAAAAGAAAAAAGTTCATATGATTTTTCTCCATCCGACAATCAAACTCGAGTCTTCCGTATGGAAGGCAAGAACGCTGACCACAGGACTATCTATTCTTTTATTTTTGTTGCTTTAATACTAGTAATTAAATTGACTTCATATAGTTTTATTTAAATTAACAAATTATTTATAATTATAGACGAAATAAAAACAGAAATGCTTTTATTTATCGATTCTACATAATCATAACCCATTTTAATGTATGTTCAATCTCAATAACTAAAAAATATACTGACAATTAGTTTGACAGAAGTGTCACTTATTTAAAATTTTAACAATAATAGCAGTCATTTAATCAAAATATGAACGATGATTGGTGGATTTAATTTTTTGCAGTGTTTTCACTACCTAGAGTGGATATGAAATATATTCGTTTAGTTGAAAGCAATAGCATACTTTTTCGTTTTGTAATCTGTGTGTAGATAAGCTAATATCCATGTGGGTGTAGAAAAAATAGATTCTTATTCATACTTACATAAGTGGAAATTAGATTCTTATCCACACGCGTGTTATATAGGGCACTTTCCATAAGACAAAATAGTGCGATATGTATCACTTTCCCAAGTATTTTAATGGACGTTCAAAAAATTGAAATAATTTGACATTTAAGAGTGACACAAATATTGAAAAAAAAAATAGTCGTATGAGGTTTGAGACAATTCAGAGATATGTTTTGTAAACCTAAGTTCGACTCAATCTACAAGAGTCATGATCTATGCTAATTTTTAAATTATTAGAGAATGTCTTGTTTTATTAGGCCCAAACAGCATGAAGACATTTGTTTGAATATATATTTAAATTTAGATTTATGATATTTTGAACTTGGTTAAAAGACAAATAGAGTCAACATCAGCGTAATAAGAAATATGACAATTTTCCTAAAATTGATTAAAAATCTGAGATGTAAATTGAAAAAAGTATCGGTCCTAAAATGAAACCTTGTAGAACTCCATAATGAACAGAAACGGACGAAACATGATGGTACCATTTGATTTACAGGCGAGAAAACTCGTAAAACCCCAGTAATCATAATTGTGATATGTTTTTACTTTCCTATCTGTATACAGATATAAGGAAAGTATAGGAATCATGATTTTTTTCGACCTCGAGTTTTCGACGGATTTTTACGTTTTGAGGTCCCCTGAATCCGTTTTGACTATTTTCGCGATGATGTCTGTCTGTCTGTATGTGTGTGTGTGTGTGTGTGTGTGTGTGTGTGTGTGTGTGTGTGTGTGTGTGTGTGTGTGTGTGTGTGTGTGTGTGTGTGTGTGTGTGTGTGTGTGTGTGTGTGTGTGTGTGTGTCTGTATAACGCATAACTCATGAACCGATACACAAAAAAACACCAAATTTTAAACTTAAGCTTTGTTTCAGCGTCCAATGAGCCGATTAGATTTTGGGCAGAGTCGGAACATCTGGGGGGGGGGTACTTTATAGGTGGTCATTTTTATATTTTATGGAATATATCTGTTATTTACGTTTGGAGAAGAAAATTCTTCAAATAAAAGTTACTTCTAATATAATTATCTATAATTTTTGTTTTATGCAAAATTTTCCTAAAATGGTCCGTATTCGAGAAATTTGAGAAAATGTAAAAAAAATATTTTTTTATAAAAATTGTTCAAATAAAAGTTGTTTGTAATATAATTTTCTATAATTTTTGTCATATACATAATTTCTCTAAAATTGACCGTATTCGAGATATTTGAGAAAATGTGTAAATTTCGAAATTTGAAGAAAACTCAAAAACGGATAAAGGAAAAAACATTAAATTTTAAACTTAAGGTTTATTTCGGCCTGACGTGAAATGATTAGATTTTGGACAAAGTCGGAACATCTGGGGGGGTACTTTATGGGAGGCCGTTTTTATATTTTATGGAATATATCTGTTATTTATGTTTGGAGAAGAAAATTGTTCAAATAAAAGTTACTTCTAATATTATTATCTATAATTTTTGTTCTATGTCAAAATTTCCTGAAATGGTCCGTATTCGAGAAATTTGACAAAATGTGCAAAATTCTGATTTTTATGAAAATTGTTGAACTAAAAGTTGTTTGCGATATCGATTTCTATAATTTTTGTTTATATATGATTTTTCTAAAATGGACCGTAATGGAAAAGTGCTAAATTTAAATTTTTCTGTATTTTCGTTTTCAATGAATATCTATAGAAAAATGTTTCGAGGTAGATGTATGTGGAAAATGTATATATTTAGTTTATCCTCTAAACATTTATAGAGATGCTGCAATAGGTTGTACAAAATAACCGGAAAATGCCTATAATAACTAGATAGGAAAGTCATGTGTTGGACACATCAGATTTTTTGTTCTGTAATTCAAATTAGTGTATTTATATTAATGTATACTAGTTTTAGTTATGTAGATATCTATATCGTAACAATTAATTCATATTTAATAAAGCTATTATTATTGTCATAAATCTACATTGTCGAGTGACAATGATTGAACACTTTGTGCTGTTTATACACAAGTAGTTGAAGTAGTTATATATTATTTACCTTCGTAAGGAAATATAATAGCCTGGGTAGTTTTTCCATAAAAGTCATCAGAATAAGTTTGTATGTCCATGTCGCGAGTGGACAGCAGATTTTCATATTCTTTGATGGGTTTGGGCAGCTCCGCAATCGTTATAGTAGGCTTCTCTTTAAGCCTCAGTTTTTTCAAAATTTGGTTTTTGATGTACTCGATCCTCAGTTTGGCGAATTCATCTTCGATCACTGTATATTCCGTTTTTTCCGCCGTCTGATTTTCCGACTCGGGCACACTGTTATCCTGCAAATCCCCGTTTTTGTTCGAATTCGAAAAGAACACACCGAATACGGAAGGCACTTTGGCACCCACTCGATTCACAAGAACCATCAGCAGCACCACAACGAATATCGAAGGCTTCATCGTACGAAATTTACAAATTAATTAATTCGCTACCAAAACGCGTACAACAACACTTGTTTACAAATTGATTTGGATTGATCCTGAAAAGTGCAGGCGTATTAAAATCATTATAAACTTCATTTACCCCACTCTTTTCATTAACATTTCTGTAACGGATGATAGGTTTGAACCTTGAACCGCTGGATCTGGAGTATACGAAATTAGATAATAAGGTATTATGAGTATTTATTTAGTTGGCTCGAGCTTGGAGCACGTGCTCGTCACTGACACTACCGTAAAAACTGATCAAAAACGTGCGGTGCGGTACTATCATTTCTCGAAGATTAACAGTGTCATTAAAAACTATAATCGATAGTAATAGTAAATGTTTTATTTTTCTTTATTATGAAAAACTATTTAAAAATTATTTAAAAAAAAATTAAAAAACTTAACTATTTTATAAAACTATTGTCTACAAGTGGAAATGCATTTTAACAATGATAAGATAAAGTTCAAGGAATAGAATCCCATTTCTGTTTAGTAATCATGAGGTATCAAACAGTGGCGAAGCTTCCATTGAAGCGGGTGATGCGTCACTTCCATTCAAAATAAAATCAAGCAGCAGATATTTTAAATGCGATTTATCCGGTAGGCTTCAATATTCAGATCTGCAGTGTTAAGAATATTAGAGATGAGGAATTAGTTATTGTTTGCTCCTCTGAATTTGGAGTTTCCAAATTAAAAAATCTTGCTGAAATCAAGGATGTGGTTGGAATTTGGAATAAAACCAAAAATAAGAGTTGTAGGAATGTCGGCTGAATTAGATAGTGAAAAAATTGAGCATTATGTTTCAAATCAAAATAAATCTGCATTTTGTTCTAATTTTATTGAATGTAAAGTTTTAAATATATCTTTATATTAAGCAGGGCCGCCGAGAGCCAGGTCGGGCCCCGCGACAATTTTATAAAAAAAATTAAGCAAAAACTTCTCTTCCTCTTTCATGAAATCTCTAAAAAAGAAAAACGTCGTCTCCTAAAGCTGCCGGACCCCCACTTGAGCCCGGGCCCAGGGAAATTGTCCCAGCTACCCCCTCTCTCGTCAGCCCCGATACTAAGAAGAATAGAAAAATTTATCAAACAACTTTGCAGGTGGTCGGTGGTGTAGCTGTCTCACGCGCTTCTATTCCTTTATAGGCAAGTTTCTGGTCAGAGATAGACGGGCTTCGAAACCTACACCAGACCATGTGGATTTTAATTAAATTGCATGGTTTGGTATAGAATTTGATGTGTGCCGTATTAATAGAAATTCAATTTCTGTTGATGACATGCAGATTATAAAATTGCCATGCATTACCGTCTCGATGATGGTGGATGAGGTTTTCCGGGTTTTCCTTACCTGTAAGTCAAATGGCACTATCAATCATCTGTAAGTCGCCCCGGAGCGCCGCGGCAAATAATAATAGTAGCCGTCCCTTTCCCCGCACAAGCTCAGCTTTTGGGGTAAAAATTCACTCGTAAAGGGGTGAATTAGGTAGAGTATTTATTATTATTAATACTTTGCAGGTTGATGTTGCATCATATAATAATATCATGACGAATGGTGAAGGTAAGCTATAGTGACACCTATTTTTAAAAAAGGTGATAAAACATTTTCAGTAATTACCGACCAATCTCATTACATACACATTTATCAAAAATTTTTCTTTTAGGACATATACTCAATCGTCACAAGGCTCCAATCTAGGCCCAGTGTTATTTTTATTATTTATCAATGACTTTTCCCTCGCTTGTGAATATAGTAATTTGATTTTCGCAGACGATTTCAAAATTATTTTTAATATATCTAATGATTTAGATTGTTAAATACTTCAGCATCAACTAATTTTATCCAGCCCAAATAAACAGGCCACAGGCCACTTGCCTGTTGAAGAATTTTTGAGGATATACAGCAGACGTCCTCAGAATTGCAGTATCTTTAATAATTCTGTGTTTCGTCGTGTCTTTTTTATATAGGTGCGCTTATGTAGTATAGTCCTACTAGAATAAAGCCGGATCAATACCAGTGAACTACCCCTTATGTTCAGATCTACGGTGCGAAGATTAGGAGATAATTATTTAAGATAGTCAACCCTGCAGTGATATCAGGCATATTTGTATAAGTTATGAGTCTAACCATCTAACGCATGGCTTACACTCTCGCAGAACAAAATGACATAAAACACCCGTTTGGAAAATCACCAATTGCTGGGAGGGGAGGCTGGATCTCTTTTTACAACAACATAAGAACACTTTGTCCATAAGAAGACCCACAGGGACATCTTTTTCGCGTGCAAAAGGTTTCAATAAAGCAAGTGTTGAATTTTTTTTTCACTTTTGGAAGAAGCCTACCAAAAATACAAGTTTCCAGTTAACCGCGTATATAATGACGAGGATCAAGATTTGGATAAAATTCCTGGAAGAAAAAACCAGATGATGCAGATGCTGATTGTCTTTTTTCTGATAGACATTTTTCCGAAGACCAACGCGGTGGGTACAATGTCTAATGTAACAGATGTGGAGTCATGTAGACAGCGCAGGTGCAGAGACAGACGAATATGTCTGCGATTATTGTAGTTAGTTGAAATAAAGCTATAAAAATTCATCTTGTTAACTTATTTTTTATGGTAACCCATATTTATAGCACGTTATCATTTGGTCCCCCAGGGACATTTAACAAAGATAAATAAAATAAAAAATGAACTTAACGTAAAAAGAATAAAAAAAATTTTGACAGTTTGTGAAATAAAATGCGATGTTCTGGGCAAAAATAGTGCAAATATAAAAATGAAAATGGTAGCCCATATTTGTACCTTCTCTAATATTTGTTCTATACGAGGTTCCATATTACTTAAGTCGTAAGAAAAAATAATTTGTTGATAAATTTCTTGATCTATCTAATTGGTAATCTGAATCAAATATGCAGTTATACATTAAATACATAAACAATAATTTTTCTCGAGAAGAGAGGCCAACAGATAATTTTTTTATTTATAACGTTCTCATCTTCTTTGAGCAATTGAGCATTTGAACATGCTTTTCACGTCCACGACAAATCCTAATCAAATATTTTGGTAATTATAATTTCCTGGCGCCACGCATTCAATATTGTTACATAAAAGATATTTTTAAAATTAGTTCAAAACATTTAAAAACTATGCAATAAAAAACAAATTGTCGAAATTCATTCATAAACGATCACGCAAAATTATTTGCAAACGGTTTTTTGGATTAATGATTAAATTGGAACACGTGTCTAGTACCAACACCAACTAAGCTAATGACTTGATAACGATAGTCAAACGGATTTAATTAAAAATAGAAGATAAATCGAAAAAATTCCGTCTCGAATTGCGAAATATTTAAGCGAAACATGGGTCAATCAACAACAAGATTCATGTACATTGCCGTCGACGATACTCGTTAGCAATAAACTTTTATTTTTTATATATCAAAGATAAAGATGATCTCTTATAAAAAAGAATTCCAGAATGATGTGAAATAGAAAAATGTTTCTCCACAGTCACTACTGAATGTAATTCTTCCGAAACACTTATAATAATAGAAAGAAAACATTCCCGCTCTTGAGATTGAAAAGTATATTCTGTAACAAGGTTGGAATGAAAATTCGATACGAGTAGAAGATTTTTATTTTCATTCCAATAGAGTAAAAGACTGTACTTTTTCAACGGCTACATACACAGTAGGAGTAATGCCGTTGCAACCCGCTTGAGCGCCATCGTGCAAATGTGATCACAGAGCCTTTTGCTAAATTAGTGCATATATTTTTTATATTTTGTCTGTACTATGTACATTCAACATTGTAATCGCTAATTAATTAATTAATACAACTGAAGCACATAAATATACATTTTTATTTAAAAAAAAATAATTTTGAAGAAGGATCAAAATTTGCTAATCTTAAATAAAAACACTAAATAAAAGTAGCTTTACGCGCTTTCTTTCTGGAAATTTCAGAAATAAGATCAGTCATATTTATATTTTAACCTACCGCACCCAGGTGCGTTAATAATTTATTAATTCCATTTATTAAAGAAAATATTGCAATTTTATTAAATTCAAAATCCTTCATTTAACGAAAAATCTCCCAGATAATTAAATCTTATTTACGACACCTAATAAATAATATCTATAACCCTGTCTGTAAGAGATCTAATTTTCTTGCACGTGTCTGGGAACCCAACCCGAAAACACCATACAACATAATTTTGTCACGAAGTAATAATCATTGAAACAGTTAACGCACTTATCTTAAGTCAGTTTTGAATAGGAACATTATTTACGACACACAATTTTTTCAAGGCAAGTAATAAATCGATCACCCCTTTTCTATCCACTCAAATTCGTTCCCACTGAAGTTACGACAAGTTGACGTCACAAAAAGTCATTAATTCGGGTATAAAGACCCGATCCCGAGGGACTCGAGATATATTAGGAAATCAAACTCAGTTCAGATGATTTCAAACTCCAGTCATTCATTACTTTTCAAATCTAGCATATTTTCAAGTTCAGTATTGAGTACCTTTCCTAAATCGACGCAGTTCCTACCCTGCCTCCTATCGACACTCCTACGTCGCGACGTTCTACGTCCCTATGATCTATCTCCCGAACGTTGCCACGTCACGGCGCTCAACGTACCGATACCCTACCTTTCTACGTCACGACGCTCTGTCTTATACGACGCTCTGTGTCCCGGTCCCCCTTCCATACCCCGGCGCTTTACATTCCGACACTTAACGTCCCAGTGCTATACGACCGGATGCCCCTTCAATATTTCCAAATCAGCAACACTTCCACGTATCAACAACAATATAAAAACATCAAAAATAGATGGTGAGTCAATAATTTAATTATTATATTATTCATTATTATAGAAATATATTGTTCATTAACGTCGCATTTGGGCCGCTAGATGGACACGTCCCAGTATGCATTTAAGAATTTAAGAATTTGGTCTACCGAAGTGCCGATACACCCTCGCAAATAGCTACTAAATAACGACTCAGTTGATTGGGGTAAATAACACTTCGGTTAGATGTCAGTTCTAGTTAAACCATAAAACTTTGCTTCCAGTTCAAGCATATATTTTACTAAAGTTTCCTCTAGCTTTGGGTCTAACCCAGTACCTCTTCCGAGTTTAATTTGACTACCCTCATCAGGATAATCGTTGTAACGTAGTCCTTGGAACTTCAAACGTTTCAGCTGCCTTTAAAGTACCCATAGTTTTTTCCCTTACTGTCTGCATAGCTTTTTTCATGTTATCCAAACTCCAAGTCTTCCTCCTAAGGTACTCACAAATAGATCTCTCTTTTTAACTGCTGGGTGGCGT